GATCATTTGTAGTAAAATACTTTAATTGGATGGGGGAGGTTGGGTTGTTGCCTGTATAAAACACTTGACCCATTTTATGCATGGAAATAACATTCCTCTCTGAAAAATGAAGAGAAATGCCCCAGTTTTGCACCGTGGAGCTTCTAGCTCATCTCGGGAGGACTTGGTGATTTTTATTTTATTTTTAAGCTCCCCCTGCCCCCCTCTCACTCACTCTTGAAGAGGAGCCAGGTTTGGCTCTGTGTGTAAACACCTGGAAGAGGTCCAAGAGGAACTCACTCGGAGTATCCTCCACACACCACAGCCTCCCAGACCTGCAGCAAGCTTAGGGAGAGATTACGCTTCCCTCAATGAGGAAATCAAGGGTTCTGGCTGCCAAAACTCTTGGCTTTCACATTTTCACTGTTTTGGGATGTGACAGACTGAGCAGCTCGGTTCTGCTGTTGAAGCTGCATCTGTAGGACCCCACTGAAATCAAGACCCCACCTGGGTGTGTGTGAGGGAAGGGACTGGGGCGCATTTGCTGGCAGTGCCAGGAGTGAGTTTCTCCCCAACTTTCATCCCAGTTACAAAGTGGGAGACTGTGTGTCTGTACAGATCTGAGGGAGAGGGCGGGATTGATGGGAAGACAACTCTTTTTCAGAGTTGCCCTTGTACCTTTATCTACTTTCTGCCCCCCACGTCTGCCTGTGCTGTCTTACTCCCCTTCCACCCCTCCTTGCTGGCTTGTAAGTAATCCCTGCAAGTCCTAAAGGAGCCCCATGTGTGCCTCTAGGGGAAACCTGTTGTGTCTGTTAAAAATTTCGTGTAGGACCCAAGTTGTTCTCGGCTCCTGCTCCCGAGCCCTGACATAGCGGAGTTCTTCTGCTAATCCAGGCTACAAGAGTTTCTGTCTGGAGCCAACTCTCCTTACGTCACCCTCTGCTGCAGTATTCAATTTGTTTTCATAAATGGGTAATTTTACAGCGCTGTTAAGTGGGTTCGTCATTGTGCCGGGCCATGCCCTGTCTCTGATGATAGGCAGCCCTGGTGCCGGGCTCTGCCAATTTTCACGCTGTTTGGCAGTGATGTTATTGCTGCCCTGTGTGACTTCGCTGATATCTGCTCTGGCATTTGTCGGGGAAAGCAGTCGGGAAAGTGGAAGCCTGACCCACGGCTCGGTTTTTGGAGCCGGGCTGGGCTGGGCTGGGCTGGGCTGGGCTGGGCTGGGCTGGGTCGGAGCGGCTCCCGCAGGAGGAGGCAGCTCCCGGCTCCCGCGTCCCCACCTTCCCTCCCCCCGGGCCACACAGCTCTTGGACAAACAGCCCTTGGATGTGCGAACCTACCACACAGCACAGCACATCCCTCCTGTAAACACACACGTGTGCACATGGTATTAATCATGAGAGTCTGAGCGCTTTCCCCCCGCGGAGCCTTTGAAAGCACCTCCGGCTGCGGAGGAAGGAGTTAAGGTCGGGCTGTGCTCAGGTGATACACACACCGAGCAAAATAAGACGCTTCAAAGCTCCCTTGACCTTGCTTCTGGTGTAATCAAAGATATTTCAGTTCTACTTGCAGAAATGCAACCCCATCCTGAGAAACGGGATCCTCCTGAGTCCCTGTCAGGGTGTTTTCTGGTGTGTGGCTCTGGAGTGGGGTGGCTCATGTTTTCACAGGAGTGAGATGTTGACTCTTTACTGGCTGGGAGCTGAGAGGAGCGGGATGAATGATCGGCAGCGGGAGCTGGAGTAAGAAGGCGTGCCTGCTCTGAAGAGTGAAAGTTATTTGTGTTTTGGTTTGTTTGTTGTTTGTTTTTGTTTTTTTTTTCCTTCTCGGTTTCATTCTCCTCCGTCTCTCTATTCCTCAGCCTGCCAACAGGGAGCATGATCCCAACTTAATAAGGCTTCATATGTAAGGGAGTGCCTGTGTTTTCCCAACTCCAGTCCTTGATGAACATTAAACTGCAGCAGAATCCAAAGGGAAACAAATGCCAAAATCAGCACAGTGGAGCTCACTTTAAAGCCACTGCTTTTGCATGTAAGAGACTGAGAAAAATCTGTGCCCGGGTCCAGTTACTGGGCAATTACAGAGATAGGTAGTTGGCACTGCTTGGGGCTGGTCCCTGCACAGGGTTTAAGAATATATGTTTGCTTTTGGGGGTCAGTTTGGTTCCCTTCTGAAGTTTTGGGGTCTGATATATTGGTTTAATGCACCTCAGGTAGAATCAGTGAGCTGGGTCCTATCCCAGTAGCTGATCCTTGCGGTGGCTGTGCTGGAGCTTGAGGATGTTCTCAACAGAGAGTTTACTCTGAGTTTTGCTGGTATTAAATAGTGAGCAGATAGATAATGCAGCGTTTCCTCATCTTCAGCAGCCTGGTGTCTTTTAACGGCATGAACGTTCTTGTCTTGGTGTGTAATGAAGTACTAGAGTGAGGGGCACTAAACACAAAACTTGCAGTTCTGTTGTTTAATTAGGGCTGGCATGTGCCAGGTCCCAGGGGATGGGCATGATGGTCACAGACAGGAGCTGGAACACCTGCACAGGTGCTCCTTCAGGGTGACAAACCTCCAACATACCATTGCTGAAGGGTGCAGGTAGCTATGTGGGTTTGCCTTCCCTGTGGATGGGTTC